GTATTTATTTATTCACGTATTTATTTATTCATGTATTTATTCATTCATTTATTTATCTCTTCGTTATTCGTTTATTCATTTATTTATCTATTCGTTATTCGTTTATTCATTTTTTATTAATCTCAATTTATTTAGAATTTATTGCCTAACCTGGGATGTGGAAACAAATTGCAAGATTTCAAAGAAAGTACCACCAGAAATAACATCACGTCTAGATGTTGATTAAAAAAATTATTATGTTACAGGGACCTTAAACTTCTTATATTCAAATGTATTTTATTTTCTTAAAGCGTAATACCCGACACCAAAATAAATTGTGGACTCGGGGTTTCAAAACTCAACTCGGTCCAATGTTGTGTCCTCGAAAAAGGCATTTTCCACTAATTTTCCCACTTGGCTCTGTCCTGTCAGAGCTGGACGTTATATATATTGGAAGTCTCGCCTTTTAAATAAGCTTACAATGTTGTAGGGGTGTTAGTTCCCAACAATGTACTTAGTTTGCCTCTAATGAGTTACTAAAAACAAAAAAAAGAAGACACTTCATTTTTTTCTTACTAACAAAGATGTAAAAAAGGGAGGGGTGTGTCACCTAAATACTCGTTAACCTGCAGAATCTTATCTCAAAGTACATGACATACATGATCTAAAATGCAACTTTTACTTTAAGCTACTTTCAACAAGTGCTCACTGAAAGTCAAGCTTTAGCTAGAGTAGGCATGAATAAATTAATTAAAGACATTATGTACATGATAAATGGTGATGCATCTTCCTTGTGGAGATGGGGCATTTCACGAGAGAAGATAACACTGATTGTCGTCAAAACGGTTCAACAAAACAACTAGGAACAATGTACAAGAACAATAACCTACCAGTCTACATTCATGCATTTTCATCTCTACAGTACCCCAGGGTTTCAAAACTCTACAATGTGAGGCATACTTTTTAGTCATCAGGAAAATGACAAATTCATAAGGCTCATCAGCGAGAAAATGAAGTTTTGAATGATCTTATTTCGCTGGTTTGCATTGAGATAGCATGAAAAAAAGGAGGTGGGGTGGGTGGGCTATGGGAAGAGGGGGAGAGAGGGAGGGGGCGTGGGATTTGAAGCTTTTCCCTTCATCACATGGTTGTATCCAGAAAACTCACAAGACGGACGTTTCGTGATCGTATCCAAGACATACAAGGATAAAGCATGATTTCTTGGAAAAGCTTAATGATTTGTTGTCAGATAGTTCCAAGAATTATCTCGTAGAACGTATCTGACAGCACCAAAAGAGGCGCCAACTAATATCGATGATTGGAAGCAACCATAGACTTGTATTATGCTATACACAAGACTGTCCACTGTAACGTAATTCCGGTTTCTATTGAGCGCGCCATTTGACTCTTTTTGGAACGAAATGAGTTTCAAAGAGGGAAAAGTTTTTACAAGCTCTCGACTTAATCGAGGCTGATGTTTTGCCCTTCATTTGCCCAGCCATATAGCGCAGTAACGCTGCAAAATATGTATAGACTACAAAGAACGGCAGCCATGAATGTGTTCGGTCTAAGATATTATCATAATTCCATGAAATCGTCCGGTCTAAGATCATATTATAATTCTTTGACAGTGTCCGGTCTAAGATCATACATAATATAATTCCATGACAGTGTCCGGTCTAAGATCATACATATTATAATTCCACACAGTGTCCGGTCTAAGATCATAATTCCATGACAGTGTCAGGTCTAAGATCATACATACTATAATTCCATGACAGTGTCAGGTCAAAGATCATATTATAATTCCATGACAGTATCCGGTCAAAGATATTATCATTATTCCATGACAGTGTCCGGCCTAAGATACATCATAAATCAAGTCTATGGAAGCAACGCAACGAAGCTTCGACAAAACAAGTTATGGAAAGTAAGTTGGGAATAGGCGGCGGGCGTTGCTCGGATGTCACGTGTATTTGCTGCAGATCCGCTCCAAGATGTTGGCCATGGTGAGGTCCGTGTCGTCCGTGCATTGTATCTCGGCGTGGATGCCTCGCATCTTGTTTCTCAGAGCCTTCTTGCTGGTCGTGTACAGCATCTTCTGCTTGATGGTGGCACGGTCCGGACTCCTGGAGGGACGGTGCGTTTTTAAAGGAAAGATAATGTAGGTTAAAGATGGACGGTGCAAGTCTAAAGGAAAGATAATGTAGGTTAAAGAGAAAAAAAAATATTGACAAAGAAAAGAACATCGACATAAGAATAGTTATCATCATCATCAGTGCCTTTCACTCCTAGCAGGGTAAAGGCCACGTACTATTACAAGCTCCTTCCATTTATCTCTGTCCTGGGCTATCCTTCCTAGCTCGTTCGAAGTGAGCTTCATAAGAACAGTAATTTAGGAATATGATTTATCTACGATTTTATTGATTCTGACTGGCAACACACACACACACACACACACACACACACACACACACACACACACACACA